AATGGTATGTATGAAAAAGGTAGAGAATAATTAGACAGGAAGGCTGAAGAAAAGTAAGAAATCTAGAACTAAGTCGTTGTTTTACAAGCTGTAACTCCTGCTTGGCTTGTGGGGTAAGGGAGTGAGGGCTGACAAGAGTTGAGCTTCTCTCTAATGTAGCAAATAAATGTTACAAAGCATAAGTAGGTATACCTAATGATGGTCGCAGCCAATTTATATCTCTAAGGCGCTTTTAAAAGTTATTGAGTGTTTTTAATTGTGCATCACAGAATGTACATAATTTTATAATGTTATTATATATATTATCTGCTTATATTATTATATATTATCTGCTTATATTTTTACATTTATATATGATATATTTATATATGATATATGATATACATATTATGTATATGATATACATATTATGTAGCATATAGTGGATACTATAGATTATAATTAGTTGTAGTATACATATTATATATGATATATAAATATTATATTTGTTTATATAGATTAACATATATGCATATATTGTAATTACATGCAAATAGCATTACACACAGACACATGTTATACATTTGTATGTTGCATGTGTATATTTATGTTATATACACACTATATTTATATTACATTTGTGTGTATATGTAACACTCTTATATTGTTTTAGTCCATTTGCTCTCTCACTTTCATAGATTACTTTACATTTTTTTATATGTCCCACTCTACCACAATTATAACATGTGGGATGATTATTACCTTTTTGAATGGCTCCAGCCAATACAGTGGCGTGGCAGGCAGCGCTCCCACACCGGCAGGCTCTTACATACTCATTAAGAGTAGCGCCACTAGCCTTTAGCGGGTGCAGAATTTTCTGACAGTCAGGATTAGCACGTTTTTCACAACCAAAGATTGTATGATAATGGTAGCAGCCTCTGTGGAAATAATGCTCCTCTGAACTGCCTCTTTAAGGCGAGATACAAAATCAGTATATGGCTCAGTGGGGCCTTGCATGGTTTTGGTAAAAGACGGCCCCAGCGTTCTAGACGTTTTAATGTTTTTCCAGACTCAGATAAAAATAGATTTGGTCTGAGCTAAGGCTGCATCTCCGAGTCTTGTATTTATCAGGAAAAGAGAAGGGGAAAGTAAGGGGATCACCCAGAGTATAGTAAGAAAATAAGCAGAGAGCAAGCATCAGTCACGCCACTGGGACCCCCCATCATCAGCACGGAGTCAGGCATCACTGCAGGCTCAGGCAGCAGTAAAGGCAACACACGCGGGGGCATCAGGCAGCCAGGCAGCTGCAGGCCAAGAGGTTAGACAGAGAAACGGTGGTGGAGGGGCGGAAAAAGGAAGCAGCTTCTCCGCTGCAGCCATCTTTCTCTCTGTAAACAAAGGGATTAACTCCTGCACTTCAGATTGAGCGAGCTCTTGTAACTTGACTCGGGCAGAAACATCAGAAGAGGGATCAACTCTTTCCTCTCCTGAGGACTCCTCCCGATCATCTTTACTTGGGAAAGGAGGTCGAGATCTCGGAGGGTTTTTATCATTTTCCTCATCAGAATCACCCCTCTCTGAGTCCGACCGTAGGAGAGAGAGCTTGAGTAACAGCACTACAAACTGACTAAATTTTTAAATCAATGATATCCCAGTGCTGATGAGCGACAAGCAGGGCTTTAACAACTTGCTGCCAGCTATGAAGATTTAATTGTACCTGATATTGAGATTGAAACCAGTAACAATGTTTTTGCACTAAAGCAAATAAATGCTTTAGGGTCCCGTCCTTTATTTCCACCCCCACTGAATTCAATAATCCTTGAATTAACTTCCTGTATTCCCACTCTGTGGTGGAGGGGGCATTTCCCATTTTTTCCAAGAGTCCCCTGTTGGATGCCACTTACCATTAGCCAAAGGGGTGTGCTCTTGGTCCCGCCGTCCCGAAAAATGATGCAGTCTACATTTAGGGTTCAAGACCCTCCAGGGTTCAAGACCCTGCTCGCTGCACCACTTGATGTGGCCCGATTACAGGACGGGGGATGGACACAGAACATAAAATAATGATGTAGACACACATAAAGACTTTACATGACTCGAGTGCCCAATGTACCAGTCACTTTATTTTTATACCCCCCAGACCCAAGGTTAGTTCTTTATAGGTGAGCATCTGAGCATAGCAGCGATAACCATTAATTTTGGAGTTGTTTTACAAGGGAACAATTTCCCATGGTCTCAGACCTCAAAACGGTTACTTAAGGTGCCAGACATAGCTCAAAAGCCAAGGCCGAGATAAGCAACATAGAGCAATGCAGCCATCTGAAGAACTTTTTGGTTTTTTTCCCAGCCAGTGGCTCTCCCTTAGCCAGTGGCCAGCCCCCACGGTTGTGTCTGTCTTAGGTTGTCCCCCTCTTGGGGAATCTTACCCGTCATTGACCACTAACCATCACACGGGGGCCAGTCCTTGGGAATTTTCTTATCCTTATGGTCCCCAGACTCCCACTATGGGGCCCTCCATGTGGGAGCTCGGCAACATTTGCTTACGTGCAGAAACTCAGACCTCTTATCATGTCACGAGGCAGCAACCGTGTCTGAAGAAAATGCTGACTGCCGCTGTGTCAGGCAGCACACGGACATCACAGGCTGTAGTGAATGATTAGTAGAAGGCATGACACCAGAATCAGCCCCCAACACATCTCCTTCCCCCATCCGTACTTCCATTCTATTGTCATCTAATGTTTCAAGATTTTTATTCCCACAAATAAGACACTATTATTGTGATATGATATTTTAAATATTGCTTGTTTGGAATTAACTACTTGTTTTCTATTTTATTTGTTCACCATTCCTTCATGTGTCTCAGGCTGTCTTTCCCAGACCATTGTCTTTCTTCTTGAAGTAAACCTTCCGGAAGTTCCTTTACAGTGGGCTCTTGGTGATAAACTGCTTCATTTTGTGTTTATCTACAAATTTTTCTTTTATCCTCATTCTTAAAGGATAGTTTTATTGGGAATGTAATTCTAAATTAATGGTTCTTTTTCTCTCAGCATTGTAAAACTGTTTTTCCATTGTCTTCTGGCTTCCATTGATATTGAGAAAATCTGATATCCTTTTAACTACTGTTCCTTTGTAGGTGTTTTGGTCTTTCTGGCTGATTTCAAGGTATGTATGTATTTATTTGCCTTTAAAGTTCTGCAGTTTCACTACTGTGTGACTGTATGTGAATATCTTTTTATTTGTCCTGCTTGGGATCCTGGACCTGTAGAGCTGTGTTATTTTTAAATCAGTTCTAGAACAGTTGCCAGCATCATCTCTTTAACCATTGCCTTTCCTCCATCCTTTCCCTTTTCTCTTTCTGTGTCTCTAGTCAGACATATATTAGACCTTCTCATTCTAGCCTCAACAGGATTCTGGATGAATCCTTCAAATGTATGAATTTTCTTTTTACCTATGAATAATCTACTATCCACTAATTTATTTTTTCAAACTAAATTTTTTTTTATTTTTAAAAGTCTCTTAATTTTAAGGCTGTTTCTTCATTCCTAAACATTTCTTGTTGTATGTTCTTCTTTGTGTTATATAGTCTTCTCATACATACCTAACTTATATCATGTATTTGGAAGTTTGGACATCTATATTTCTTGGAAAGATAAATCTATGGCTCTTGATTCTGCTACCTCTTACTTATAGGGGCCTGCTCCTTATGGATTTGGTAATTTTTGCTTGTGAGGCTATACTGTTTATAATATGAGGGAATCCACTAGGCCTGAGTTGGGAGTCCTCAGGAGGATTCACTTCTGTTTCTGCTTCCTCATCCAGGACAACCAAAACCCTCTTCTAAGGCTTTAATTCAGAGCCAGTAACCTCAGATTCAGCTTCTCCTCCTCATTGCTGTTTTAAGGATCAAATTCCTCACCACCATGCTGCTGTAAGAGTGCAGTCTTTGGAAGGCCCCACTCACAGCCGTCCTGAGGTCTAGGTCAGGCTTGTGGTGTTCGAGCTCCCACCACACCACACTGCCATAGTGCTGGTCTGCTTCTCACCGTCAAGGCCTCTGCTGCTGGCTACCTGGCCCACATCCCTCCCACTTGAGGCTCTGTTCTCATTTGTTTGGTTTTGAAGGCATGATCTCTGAAAACCTCTCCTACCTTTGAGAGACCAGCAATGCCTCAAGTCTATCTAATTGCTGTGGCATAAAAAGGTCCCTTGAAGCTTTTAGACATTGATGATACTGCCACATTTTTCTCCTATTCCAAGCAAAACATACTATAATTTCACCTGTTATTTTTAATCTTCATATTTTGAACCTGTTATTCTCAATCATGAAAATCTTTTCAAATAGAGATTCTATTGTGGATCATGATGGTGTTTTCTATGCTTGTGTGCATTTATACACATTTTTAAAATTATATGGGTAGAACAAAATCTACCCCAGTACTCTGCTGGTGGGTCAAAGTAAGATCTTTCCTACTTATTCATTTGTTCTTTCATTTAGGTAACAGACATTAGTTGAGCATCTACTCTGCTAGGTGCTGGGAATCCCTGACCTCACGCTTACAGCCCTATAGCCAAATCATTTCTCATAGCCCAGCCAACATGAAGGATCTTGAGTGCTAATGAGCTTAACCTCCCTATGGGCAGTGGGCTGAAAGTCAGAGCACTTGCCTCTCTCAACACTTTGTCCACAATTTGCTGGGTGGGTAAGGGGTGTTAAACATCACACCTTCCCAAAGCTTCCCCTTCCACTAGTTGGTATGAGGTTTAGTTTCACAAATGAGTCCCAGGCACCACATATGGGGTCCTAACTGTGAAAGTACCCCTTTCTGGATCTGTGCAGTTGGATGGTAGGTGTCTCCTTGCCTGCTGCCTCAGTTTACAAGGTGTGTTCCAGTGGTCCACATCCTGCTGCCCAGATCTGAAGCTGTTCTGCCTTGGAGGTGGTGGCTATTCTGGGAGTCAGCACTCAGGTGTGGGTCTGGGGCAGTCTCAACAAGCCAGTGAAAGAGCCAGCCTTATTTCCCCAGGTATAAAATGGACACCTGATGAGAATGGAGTCATTACCTTCGACTGCCGAAACCGCGGCTGGTAAGAGCTCACGGGAGAGGTCTCTGGTCCTGACATTTGTCCTATAGCTGTTGGGTTTTGCCCAGTTCTCTTTCAATCCCTGCCCCTCCCCACCACCACTCAAGGCCTTCAGCATGTAGAACCTTGATCCGACACAGAGTAGGAAGTTGCCAGCTATATTTCTGCCTTCTTCCCCTACAACTAACTGCCCTTGCCTCAGGACTGATTATATTTGTCTTTCCCAGCCCAAACCTCCTTCCAGAACACTGAGCTGTCTCCAAATAGACCTGCTATTAGGCTCTCCTCGTGGTAGACACCCCTCTTCTGGCAGATTCGTGACAGAATCTAAGAGTGGACCCCAGCTCTCTCCCTTCCTGCAGGGACCCCGGCTGGTCTAAAGGACAAGAGTTACCCTCAGGGTTTAGCCCGTTAGGCAGGCACATTCCCAGCTATTGCCACCCAATGGCTTCAGAACTGTGTTTAGTGGCTATGGGACCCGTTACAGCCTGACATAGATAGGGCATTGACCTGGGTTTCGGGCACACTTGGGCCAGGATCTGAATAGAGATAACTGGAGACTAGGGCAGGCGGTAGTTCTGGCTATAGTCCCCCTCCCCCATCTTGGGCCTGTTTCTTTCTTTCTGCTGAAGGTACATCCAAGCTGCTACTTCTCCCAAGGACATAGTGATTTTGGTGGATGTGAGTGGCAGTATGAAGGGGTTGAGGATGACCATTGCCAAGCACACAGTCTCCACCATCCTGGACACCCTAGGAGAGAATGACTTTGTTAATATCATCGCGGTAAATATGCCTTCCTATTCTAGAATATCTCGTACTTGCTCTAGAAAAACTTTCCTCTGCCCACACCAGAATGACCTACATGTACAGCCACTGATGCTCCTACTGTGGATGAGTCTTCCCCTAAAGCTGAGCTCCTCCCTAACCCAGGGTGCATGATCTGCCCAAGGCTGGGCTTTGAGAGGTCCATGAAGTCTCTGAAATCTTGTGTGAAATGTGGGCCTCCATTTTTCTGTGTTCGTATCTTTCACCAATTTCTCAGAGGTCTCTAGGACCCAGTAAAGGTTCAGAAGCACTGGTCCGAGTGAGCGCCCGCTTCACCCCACGCCCGGCCACGTGCTCCAACAGGCCCTGCTGCTGCCCACTCTCCCTCTGCCGCGGGGGAGCAGCCAGGCTGCCTCGCCACAGTCCCACCTCCTCCCACCCCTTGTCACGCTGAGCCCAGACACCTGGGGGACAGGAGCAATGAAGAAGAAAGAAAAGGGGATGCGCCAGTTGGGAGAATGTTTCAAAATGCAGCAAAGGGTGGGTCAGTTCAGCCCCCTAAGGAGGCAGAGCTGACAGTTACCTTGGGGGCACACAGCTAACCAAGTTTTCTTCACCATCCGTCATGTTGCTGACAATTATCTTTCATGGAATTCATTTATTTAGTAAAGAAATACAGAGATGAAATTGTCTGACTTCAAAATGATCATGCTGGGGCGCAAATGCCCTCATCCCAGAGTGGCTCCCCGCACCTGCAGCTACCCACATGGCCCTCCGTGCTGGCCTCCTCCCACCCTGGCCCCCGACCTGCCACAGGGACAGCACAGCCACAGAAAACAGGTCCACCCTCCATGGAAGTGGGGCAGTGCATGTCCCTCAAAGCCTGCACACCTTCCCTCCTGCCTCCCTGCCCAGCACCCCGAGCTGGCGGGGGCGTCACCATCAGGGACCTTCTCTCCCAGCACGCGCATGTGGCTCTGCTGCGCTGTCACCACTGCCCTTGTCTGTCCCTCTGTGCAAGCGGGATGTGGATTCAGGACACCTTGAAGATTTCTGCTTTAACTATGGGGAAGCAGGGTGATTAAGAAGAATAGGGCAGTAATGGGCATTTTCTCCCTATGCCCACTCCCTGTTGATAGCTAAAGGACCCTATTCATGGATGCAGGAAAAAGAAAAAGGCACAGTCTCTAATCCTCCCACCCAGGCATGGTGGGGAGGGGTCTCCCCATGGCAGGCTCTGGGGCTCTGGAAGAAGAAAGACATCTCCTCTGATCTTGGGGGCAGAGAGCAAAAAGGAATTCTGCCAGTAACTGCAGGTTCTCCGTAAGCCCTAGGAGATGGGTGTCACCCAGGCAGCCAACAGAGAAGATGACCCAAGATCAGGGTTTGAGGGAATTAAAGCCCTGTTGTTCTCTCCACTCCCTTCTCTCTGAAAAAGTTGCAAAAAATGCTGAGTGCCCCAGGATGATATTACATAGGTGCCTTGGGGACCTGCACCCCAGAATCCCCTGTGAGCTGCCAGAGCTTCTTTGCTGTGTCCCGACTCCCCAGACCGACCTGTTTGTTCTCTCACCCCCCACTACGGCACCGCAGTACAATGACTACGTCCATTACATCGAGCCTTGTTTCAAAGGGACCCTCGTCCAGGCGGATCGAGACAACCGAGAGGTGAGTGGCCACCTGTGGCCTGGTGCTTCTGAGCCCCTGCCCTTGCCAGGGTGGGGGGTCTGTGCAGACTGCCTCCACGGCCTCTTCCTTTCCCTCCACGGTGCTTGGAGTGGGAGCAGAGAGAGTGGGTAGTCCCACACGCGCACACCCAGGAACCCGCCAGTATGTGCAGCAGCTTGCCAGAGCGAGGAGAGGCAGGTGGAGACCTCACAGCTAAGGGAAGCTCATGTATTCAGACTTGGTTTCAGTCTGTGGACTATCCAGGACTCAGTTTCCCCCTTTGCCTACCACGTGAGCCTTTCTGTTATGCCAGTCTTCACGAGGAGCTTCCCTCAAAGGAGGACAAACTTAAATCCATTGGGCTGAGTCCTTTCTTCTGGCAAGACACCAAGGAGGAGAGGACATGTTTCGAAGGGAGATCTTGCATGTCGCAGATCCCTCCCTCCGTCACTGAGGAACTGAGGTTTGCTTCCTCTGAAGCCCGGCCGCAGTCCCTGGGACCTCCACAGTTTCTGCTATGAAACGGGCACCCCTGGTTCAGCCTGGATGCTGAGGTCAAGGGCATCCCTGTCTGTGTCCCTGGACTGTCCTCCCCCTCCCCTGGCTGGACTCACAATGGGCATTTCCTGCCAGTGGTGGGCCTGGGTCTGTGCCCAGCCATTAGCACTCTTTCAGTCTATCTCGGGGGCCTTTGGGAAACATGTACTTCGGGTCCAGCCCATGAAGTTGGCTGCGGTGTGAGATAGGGCCCTGCAGGCATGTCCCTTTGGGCAGCTGGGCAGCAGCCTGCACGGCCTCCTGAGCTAAGGCCCGAGAGGAAGGGCCCTGGCCACTGATGCCCCTCTGCACCTTGCCCATGGCAGCATTTCAAGCAGCTGGTGGATGAGCTGATGGTCAAAGGAGTGGGGGTTGTGAACCCAGCCCTGAGCGAAGCCTTCCAGATCCTGCAGCAGGTACTGTAGCCAGCGACAGGGGCGGGGGTGGAGAGGCAGCGTGGCCTGCCGTCACGGGGCCGCCCTTTCCCACACAGCTCCAAGAGGCCAGGCAAGGCAGTCTCTGCAACCAGGCCATCATGCTGATCTCCGACGGGGCTGTGGAGGACTACGAGTCAGTGTTCGAGAAGTACAACTGGCCAGATCGCAAGGTGACTCTCCCGGTAGCGGTCGAGCTGGGAGGAATGCTTCTCCCACTGCCAAGGGGAGAGTTCTGCTCCTGCTGTGGGCAGGGTGACCAGTGGGGCCCAAAAGGACAACCCTGCATTAACATGCCCTTTCCCATTAGGCCCACTCATAAACTCAGGCATGTCTTAATTTGGCATTCCAAACCTATGGCCACCCTAGGCACAGGGGTCTGGTGTGAGGGGCCTCAGAAGGAGGGATCAGACATGGCTCTGAGCATGAGAACTGTGGGCTGAGAGCTCCACCCGCACCCGCCCCATGGCCACCGCAGCCTGGCAAGCCGCGTTGCTGCCTGGGCCTCCCTGCAGGGTCTTCTCTGATCCAAAAGGGGTGAGATTGGAGAAGCCAAACACTGAAATGTGCCGGACCCAACGTCTAAGACTCACATGAGTAATGCTAACACCATCCACGGCCAGGAATGCAGATGCTGAGTGCATCCGTGTCTTGCGGGTTAGGTCCGAGTGTTCACGTACCTCATTGGGAGAGAAGTGACGTTTGCCGACCGCATGAAGTGGATCGCATGCAACAACAAAGGTAAGTGCCGAGTGAGCAGAGGCCTGGCAGCCTCACCTGGGTACTGGGTGGTGTTACCTGGCCAGCCAAGGTGCCGAGCTGAGCTGAGCGCAGGCTCCTGTGAGGGGCCCTGCAGAGGGGTAGCCATGGACAGCGGCAGCCTCCGCCCTCCTTAGTTGGAAAAGGCAAGACAGGATGTAGGTTTCTCCATAGCCTTGAGCAAACGCTAGGTTGCTCCTACAGGGACTCTAAGTCATACAGTCACCTGAAATGAAAATCAGAGGTCATCTACCTAAAGTTTGCACGAGAGAGAAGAACTGTCACTTCAGATAAGGGCTTATACGAAACCACATGTAGAAAACAGGGAGAGGCAGGTGGCCGACATTTTTAGCATGAGCTCTGTCTAACCTCTGGCCCCCATTCCTCCTGTGGCAAATTAAGCCACTGACGCCAGTTCTGCTCCCAGATGAAAACAGAGGGTCACCGTTTTCTTTGAAATAATGTTTTGAGTACAAACAGTCTTCATCTATCTCTGACCAGAACCCAAGACCATCTTGCCCCTGTTGATTCAACAAAAACTCGTTGGGCACCTGCCAGGCTCCTGGCACTGTTCCCAGGCACTAGAGGGATCAGGGCAGACTCCAGACTGTCCCACAGGGGACAAAGGAGGGAGCCACCAGTTCTGCTACAACCTGCAATGTGCTGCAATGGGCGGGAGGCGTGGTCTGGTCAGGGCGCGGGGTGGGGTCAGGGCAGAGGCACCCCCCAGTGGGGGTGACGGGGGGGGGGGGGGAGGGTGCTTCAGACAGAGGCAACAGCGTGTTCCAGGGGCTGGGACAAGGGGCAGGCCGGGAGCAGAGAGCAGCTGTGTTTCTCGGCGTGTGGAATGAGCGCTGTGGGAGTGAGGGCTCACATTCTGGCCCCCGAGAGGAGGCTGGGACACCCACCGCATAACCTGAAGAAGAGCAAAGACAGGGGAGGGGAGGAATCACTGTCTCTGCCTGGGTTGGCTGGCAACAGACCTCAGGCAGTCACAGAAGGAGACCTCTGTAGGCAGTGGGGAGTGCCAGGAGAGGAGAAGCCTGCCCCTGAGGTCCTCGCAGCTGGGCACCTGCTGCACCGGCGGGAGGTCTCACAGAGGTCTACAGGTGGAGCAGGGCAGGCCTTTGTCTCCCACTGGCCTGTGCCCCTGGGAGAGGGCGTAACTGTGGGAAGCAGTGCCCTGGGGTCCAGGGCAGTTCCAGGGAGGACTTGGCTGTGAGCCTCGAGCCTGGGGCCCTGTCGGGGGTTCCCAGGGGAGCCCCACTTTCCACACCCACATGCCTTTCGTTGCCAGGCTACTACACACAGATCTCCACACTGGCAGACGCCCAGGAGAATGTGATGGAGTACCTGCACGTGCTCAGCCGGCCCATGGTCATCAACCATGACCATGACATCACCTGGACAGAGGCCTACATGGACAGTAAGGTGTGAGGTGACTCCTGGGCCGGGGGATGAGCATAGTACCTCCTTAGGACAAGTTCTAAAGTGGGGAGGGAAGCCAGTCCTCATTCCCCTCCTTTCCCGGACAGCCCCGGCCCTCTCAGAGGTGCTGCAGGTGCTGCCCCAGGCACCCGGCAGTCCCCTCCCAGTTGTTCCTCCCTGACCCCTATCCTCACCTCCATCCATGTCCCTCTCTCTGCCTGCCATGGGGTGAAGGAGTCAGACCCGTCGCTCTCCACCCTATGGCTTCATGGTGCATCCTCCCTTCCCCAGCCCTGCATTTTCAAAAGACTATAGGCAGCGATGACTGACACGCAAGGTTAAGTGTCAGAAGTAGGACTTCAGATGAGACTTTTTGGGGAAGTAGGACCTTCCTTCCACTTCTCAGATCATGTCGCATGAGTAGCCACCTCTTCCGTATGGGAAGACTGGGATGAAGACTGGGATGCAGAGACCTGCAAAGAGTGGCTTAAATAAGAAAGAAGTGTGTTTCTGCTTCGTGTACACGAAGTCTAGGTGGGCATCCCAGGGGCCCACCAGGGGCCCAGGCTCCTTCCCTGTTGCTAGGATGAGACCCTTGTCCTCCTGGCCTGAGTGGCCAGCAGAACTCTGGCCAACTGAAGCCACATTCTACGCTGCAGGTCAGTGGGAGGGAGGGGGTGTGCTCTACTCTTTTGGAGGAAGCTTCCAGGGAGTCTTTGGGACAGGGAAGCATGCACCTCACTGGCCAGAACTTAGTCCCATGCTGACTCCTAGTGACAGGAGCCTGCTAATGCAAGGCTCAGCTGTCTCCTGACTTGCTCTGCGTCCGAGGATGCACCTCTGCCCCTTAATAGTAGATAAACCATCCTGCCAAACTGGGATCAAAAGCTCATTAATCTACTTTAAAGGGGCTCAGCCAATAAGGCCATGCCCAGGAGATGTCGTCCAGCTAACACCAACTGCTGCTGCCAAAGCTGATGCTCAGAAGGGATGAGCTTGCCTCGCTCGGCAGGTTGGCCCTCTCCTTGTCCAGGTGTTCACCGTCAGGGTCGATGAGAGAGAGCTGGGGGAGGGCGGGAGGAGGGAATCTTCTTAGATCTCGTCTTCCCGCGCACCATGTCTCACGCTTCTCACTCCCTTCCATTCTTCCTCCGTGGTCCACCCATAGGCGCCTCATGGCAGCCAGCACAGCCAGGGAGGCCACGTGTGTGGCACGCCCTGCGTGTGCTTCCCTCTAGTGCGAGCGCAAGCTGGGAAGTGAAGGCTTCCAGAGCCCGTTGGAGGAGCCTGACCTTGCTAGCAATGGCCATGCTGACAGTGATGGTCTGGTGTGTTCAGGTGTGTGTTTGGCAGAAGGGACAGGGAAGGCAAAGCCTTGTTTGCCTGTAACCCTATAAAGTGATGTCAGACATGTCATGCCAGGTCATGCTCGGCATTTCATGGACAGCCCGGCCTTCTAGTGTCTCCTTCCCTCCATGCCCACAGAGGAGGTCACAGTTTTATCTTAACTTTAAAAGTGATACCTGCCCCTCCATTAGAAGCCCCCCCAGTCCCTACATCCCCTTTGGCTTCCTCCTTCCCTCTCCTGTCCCTGACTTAGGAGGCAACGGCCACCTGCAGATCTCCTGCATCCACTTCTGGACCTGAGTTGAGGATGTTACTGCCTTGAGCCCAGGACAGGTGTCCCCACCTGCACAGAGGTCCAGAGACAAGAGTGCAGGGAGGGCTGTGCAGTGCTGAAGCACTCAGGTGTGAGACGAGTCCTGCGGGACAGTGGGGCAGAGGCTGCTGCCCTGGGGAGGCAGGGAAGCCACCACTGGCTTCCTACCTCTCCAACTGGGAAGAAGACTTGCAAGCCACCATCCAGCCCATCGGGGTATGTCTGAATGCAGAAAAATATCAGATGTCATTGTGGATCAGTTCCAGAAACCTTACTTCAAACTCTAAACTGAAAGCTCAGATGGTCAAAGTGCCTCCTTTTCCAGGGAAGTTCTGTGACCCCACAGCTCAGCAGCCTCCTTTAGTTGATCTGAAGAAAGGTCAGGCTTGTTAAGGGGGGGAAAAACTCTGTAAAATAATTTAAAGAGGTTTATTCTGAGTCAATATGAGTGACCGTGGCCCTGGGACATGCAAACTCAAGAAGCCTTGGTCCCGGGCAGTTGGATACCATTTGGTTTTATATATTTCAAGGAGACAAGAATTTTAGGAAAAATCATAAATCAATGCAAAGAAGGTATTCATTGGTTTGGCCCCCAAAAGCATCACATCTCAAAGCTGCATGGTGAAGGGGTCAGGAAGGGGGTTATAAGTCATAGGTGGGTTTGGAGACTCTTTAACTAGCAATTGGTTGAGAGAGTTTGGCTTTCTCTAAGAATGTGGAGCAGGAAGAAATGCCTAAGTTAAGACAGGAATTCTGCTGATCATAGAGTGAGCCATGATCCAGCCACTCCAGTGCTCTCGTAAGGGCTCTGACAGCCTGCAGGCATCACTTGACCTTCGTCGTCCTGCATGGCCTTAGGTCCTGTTCATAATTTGGTGACTTATTGCCACAGAGTCTGTTTTGTCAGTCTCATGGTCCCTATTTTAAAATTAATGCTGGTCAGTTATATCTAAACTCCAAAACAGAGGGGGTATAACAAGAGGTGTCCAACCTCCCTTCCTTTCATGGCCAGAAACTCAGTTTTTGGATTTTTCTGGGGTCCCCTTGGCCAGGGGGGGTCCATTCAGCCAGTGAGGGGCTTAGGATTGTAATTTTAGTTTATGAAACACACCCGTACATGCACTTTCCAGGAGGCTGTCTTGGTTACAAAGTGGGGCGCATGCAGAGCCCCCTCCACAGCAGCTGGAGGAGCTGGCGCAGCAGCCTCAGGGTGTCAGGAGGTCCAGGATGCTGGGATGATTCTGGCCCCAAGCTGTGCAGGGAGAGGAGGCCTTGGGTCTGTCCAGCATGGGTGAGGGTGGCCGTGAGGCAGGACACAGCGGCCCCACGGCTGCTGTAGCTCCTCAGCAGGTGCTTGTGTCTGCAGGGCGGCGTGGGGGTCTGGATCAATGTCTCCTTTCTCTTAACTGGCCTGGGCTACAGGCATAGCGACTCATATCGGAGGTTTTGTAGCAGAGGTTTCTGGAAAGCTTGCTGTAAAAAGCCTCTTTGCTTCTGGGCAGGCGCAGATGGGCCCATCACCTGGGTTCATGCTGGTGCTTGGCCTGGCCAAGATGAGAGAGCTTAGTGAGTGCTCTCGGGAGCAGGACTCGGCTAAGTGAAGTTGGCCTGATCCTTGTCTCCAGCATTCCTGGCAGCTCTCCATTTGCAGAGAAGGGAACCCTCATTTGGGATCTCTGACACCAGCGACCGTGGGTTCTCTGCAAGGTGTGCTCTGAGCAGGCCAAGCCACCAGGCCAGGCCGTGCCCTCTGACCACACTCTCCCCCCACCCCCGGCAGCTCTTCACCTCACAGGCCAAGAGCCTGATGCTCCTCACCACCGTGGCCATGCCGGTCTTCAGCAAAAAGAACGAAACCGTGAGTGGTTGCTCCCTGAGAGGAGCAGCGGGGGTTAGAACCTGGGGCCACTGTCGGCACCTCTGGACTCGTCGTGCTGGCCTTGGCTGAGGTCGGAGCCACCGTGGGGGGTTGAGTGCAGAGTCCTTGTCCCAGGCCAGCTGTGGAGTGGGGCTGGGGTTGCTCTGCTGCTCTGCATTTGGAGAATGGGGCAGGGGGCCCTACCAGGCGGTCTGCAAAACCACACTTAACCTGCCAAGTCAAGCAGACTGACTTGTTTGTAAAGGCCTTGGTGAGGAAGTTTCTAGAGCATTCCATCATCCCCCTGGCTAGGAAATGTTCCATTATAGGCCCATGTGCTTCAGCACCCATGAGTGACAGGCCCTAGGATCCCACACTTCAGCCTCTGCTGGGAAGATTAAATTAAGTTGATATTTCATTCAACTTTGTATTTCATTTAAATATTACAACTTAAATATTAATACTGAGTATTAGTCTTCTCAGCAGCTGAGACAGCTCCTGGGGCCTCTTCTGATAGGTTATAGATTTTTATTCCAGGGAGCTCTGCCTCAAATCTAGCTGCAGAGGAAGGGTCACTTAACGCTTAAGTGGCTTCCTCCTCTGGGCTCTGGACAGGCCCAGGCTCCAGTCTGCCCTCACCCTCAGGGACTGCATCTGCCCTGACCCTCATGGTCTTCCTCCAGCGATCCCATGGCATTCTCCTGGGCGTGGTGGGCTCCGATGTGGCCCTGAGAGAGCTGATGAAGCTGGCGCCTCAGTACAAGGTGAGCCTGGGTCGGGTCTGGTCTGAGGGATCACGGGCTCACCAGGATCTGCCCTGGGCTCAGCGCCCTCTCTCTAGGCAGCAGTGGCCAGGCCACTGGCCTGGGATGGGACCTCTATCAGCCTCTAGGGAGGTGCAGGTGTTGAGTATGGGAACAGCAGCGTGTGTCCCTGGGTCCCTTTGCCACCATGAGCTAGGACTTGTTCTGTGACCTTCAGCAAGTTCGTTCCCTGCCCAGTGCTTCAGTTTCTCAGTCTGCTCCTCCGTGCTGCACAGTTCTGTTTTGAGAGTGAGATTATATCATCAAAGCACCTAGAGCATGTGGTGGGAGAGAGGTCGGGAATGGCCCGCATTGCTGTGGCAGCCACTCACAGTAGCGTTTGGAAAGGACTTCACAGTCCATGGATAGGAGCGAAGCGCTGGCTCAGTTAAACTCCTGTCTGAAATACTCACTGCAGTGAGCTGCCGCCTCTCACTATCCTGCGGCCCCAGACCCCTTCCCAACTCCAGCCACCCAGCACAAACGGCAGCCCTGACGCCCTTCCGTCCCGACTTCACAGCTCGGAGCGCACGGCTATGCCTTTCTGAACACCAACAACGGCTACATCCTCTCACACCCTGAGCTCCGGCCCCTGGTAGGTGCCAATCTTCGCCTTGGGACCCTCATTGCATGTGATTTGGGGGCGGTTCACAAAAACAGCCGAAACCAGGAACAGACGCTGAGCTCCATTTAGGAACCTAGTCAATACGAGAAAAAAATGAATTTGAGTCATGGTCCCTGCTTGCAAATTGGTTATAATCTAGCAGAAAAGACCCCGCAAAGTATGTGAATGACTGACAAACAGACCGAGAGCATGCAATAAAGCGTGCAGTTTCCAGGCTGAGGAGCCCTGCAGGGCTGTCGGCCTCCACGCTGTGTGGGCAGAGCTCCAGGCCCCCGGGGCTGTGAGCAGAGGTAGCCATGAAGTGTGGGGAGCCTCTCGGGGTGGGGCAGCGCTGAGTGTGCCCGAGGACAGGCCCCTGGCCCCCGCCCCTCCCGGCTCTCTGCACCCAGACGCAGCGGCCAAGGTATTTTCGCCTGAGTGTGGCTGGGCAGCGGCCAGCTGGGACAGGAAGGAGCATTGTGGCATCTGAAAGCTCTGCCCGTGCTCAGCTGGACACACACCTGGGCACTGTCTGCAGCGATGACTGCCACACTGCTTGGAGCGACTGGTGGGGTGGAGGGAGTTAAAGTCCCAGGGGCGTTGCAGCCCCTTCCCCTCTACCGGTCTCGTGGTGACTGGCAGGTGGCAGCTGAGGACAGTGGACAGCGAGGACCTTCTGGAGAACTCACTGTGGAGCCTGCTGGCTCAGGTGTCATTTGGAAGGACCAGGCTAAGCCACATCCCATTGCATTTGGTTCAAATAGCTGCTGAGTGCCCACGAGGCAACTGATCGAGCTATGTGAGGCAGCCTGCGGGGGCGGTCAGGGAGGAGACGTCAGAGCACGCGGAAGCCACTCTGCTCGCTGGCAAGCGTCTGCGCCCACAGCAGGCCCTGTGGTTTGGGGCGCAGCCCTGGTGCCAGCAGAATGGCCCGCTGGGGACACAGTGACAATGCTGGTGTGCAGCTGCGTGTGGAATTCAGGGGCACGGGTCAGAATCCCCGTCCCTGTCTGTCCAGTCTTGCCACACGCAAGACCACAGCCGGCACCACACACCCGGCCTCCCTCACCACGTGGCGCGGGAGGTGCTGCGGAGGGCGTCCGTGGTCTGGCTGAGGACATCGGACCTGCACAGACGAAGCGACAGAGTACAACAGCACCTAGGACACCACACAAGGAGGGATGTGGCACAGCCAATGTGATGCAATCTCTAAGGAAAGCACTGGCAGGGAAATGATAGTTAAGTTTTAAAAAGAAAAATGATAGAAGAGTCGCCCAAGAATAAACGAAAGGAAGGTCGAGCGCCTTGCTTTCCCTGGGCCCTTCCGTGTAGGGTCCAGAGCGGGGCACATAACCAAGGGGACCATGGCTCTCATGGGAGGGGTTCCAGATGGCCTTCGGGGAGCTGGAGGGTTCAGGGAACTGCGATGGGATGCCAAAGAAGCAGGTCCCGCACTGTGATGGCTGTACAGGGCTGTTGGTGAGCCTGGCCCCAACAGGCCAAGAATGCAGGCGTGAGCCGGCCGGGTGAGGAGAAAGGGAGACGTGGGGAAGGGCCCACAGGCCTCCCGCCATGGCAGGGAGCACAGAGGACGCTTTCCTGAGAAAAGCAACTACACCAAAAACTGGCAGAAGCAAGACCCACGATGACAGTGGACTCCATCCAGGCATCTGCTGGAGGCTTCATTCTGCCAAATGCAGACGCTCTGATTAATTCTTAATTTACCTTGATGATAAACTACTCTTTCCTTTGTTGACAGGGTTACTAAACTAAACCTGGGAAGTGCTGCAGGCCTAATGCTGGATAACTTGATATTTGTCTTGGCAGGAGGCAAGAGAGAGAAAGTGTCAGGGCCACTCAGGTGTGACTGACGGCTCAGTGCCAAGTGGGAGGGAGGTCTTTATTGGACACTGCGGCTCTGCCCTTGTCTCTGTCCCATCCAAAGTTCTGCCATGCAGAAGGCAGATGCCATGAAGTCTGGAAGGCATGGCTAATACAGTAAGTGGGAAAATTAGTACCCAGGAAGTATTCTTCTAAAACAATGGGCTGAACCTAACAAGATGAAATATATTAGGGAGGCATGGAAAGCTCCACAAATTACTAGATGCCCAAGCCTAAGACTGTGAAGGTTTAATTTAGTAGTACATACCATGAGGAAGACCAAGGGGTTTCAATGACCAGAATCTCCATCTGAGCCGCGGGGGCAGTGCAGCCATCGGGAGGCCCAGCAGGCCCCCAGGCGGCAGTCAGAGCTGTGTGATGCTCCAGTCAAAGGTCACACCCCACACTGCACTGGGCAGACCCCACCTGGAATGTTGGTCTTTGTCCTGGGAACTCGATTTTAGGAGTGACATTGAGAAGGTAGAGAACATTTAGAGGGAGTTGAAGCATCTGCAAATTGGGCAAGTTTAACTTGGAGAAGTAAAGTCTCAGGAGTGACAAGTGCCTATAGAAATGTCAAGAGTTGTCAGGTGGAACACAATCCGTGTAGCTCTAGGGAAAAAATGAAGATCAGTGGGTGAAAGTTACAGGGAGACAGATTTCTGCTCTGTATGAGGAAGGAATTTCTAACAATTAGAGCTGTCCAAAACTGTGACAAGGTGACTCACAAAATAGGGAACTCCTTGCCAAGGGCAATACTCAGAGGCCATGAGACCATCCATCACAGATGTCGGCAAGGGAAGCTCTGCACTGGGTGGAAGTTTGGCTGGATAACTTTAAAGGAATCGCTGCGATTCTTCGATTTTATGAGTGTACCCGAAAGACTGCGCAGAAGAGTTGAAACTTGAGCAGGGCCCTACGCTGACCTCATGTTTTTCTTCCTAACCTGCCCACTCCAGTACAGAGAGGGGAAGAAACTGAAACCCAAGCCTAACTACAATAGTGTGGATCTTTCCGAAGTGGAGTGGGAAGACCAAGCTGAGACTGTGAGTAGGGGTGGGGGAGGGGCAGAGAGGCTAGTTTAGCTCTATTTCCAACTAACTGGGTCAGCGGCGTGGCTGGAAGCTTTGAGATCACTCTGTTCCTCTTGGTGGAGCAGCTCAGTCCCAGAGCCTCTCCAAGCCCAAGGCAGAAGCAATTCCTGTAATGGCCAATTCTTTTAACAATTGTAAAAATGTAACCATGTCTTCCTGACTCACTAGGACTGCTGAGTCTGAGTGAGATTGTGGCTATAAGCTACGAGTGTGAGTGTTAGTGGTATTTTAGCCTGGCTTTGGTTTCAGTGTCTCATCCTGGAGGAAGTTCTGTCTCAGCAATGTGACACCATGCACCCTAAAGCATAGGTCCCCTTTGGAACACTATCTTGGTGAATCTCAGAATTATACACTAAAAGGAATCTGGAGTCAGTCGAGGAACAGGGAAGAACTAAAGGGATCCCCAGATCCTAGGGATCTCCTCTAGTCTGGCCGGGAGCTCCATACCCTCCGCCCTCCCTGTGCACCAAGGGACTGACAGCATTGTCTTTCCTCCCAAAGCTGAGAACAGCCATGATCAACCGGGAAACAGGCTCTCTCTCCATGGACGTGAAGGCTCCGCTGGACAAAGGGGTAAGGAGCTCAAGACAAAGGGCCAGGCTGTGGTCCCAGCAAGGCAGCACCCCTGTTCATTGAGTGGTGGGGTGTCATGATGGACTTGGACTGAGTCCAGTTAGAGCCTAAGACGTGAGTGATTGCCACAGCCCCAGGGCTCAATCCGCGGGCAAGCTTGATTAGTGGGCGCCGGGAAACACCTGGCCAAGGAACCGCACGCCTGTGCGCCACTGCGCGGCCACTCCACGACCAGCAACTGTTCTTTCTTCCTTGTGCTGCCTGCTGTTTGGCCCTTTTGTTGTTGACGATGGAAAGGGGAAAAGTGACAGCTAATTTTGCAAATTGCTAGCAGCTCTTGTAAAATGCGTTATATGAGAAGAGGTTGAAAATGCATTCCCTATAGTTGATTTCCATCCACTGTAACCACAGATAATCAAGCACTGATACCCTCACTGCTACCGTTCCTCTCTTTAATACCTGCCCGTCATCTCTGATATATCATTTCATCTCACTTGGAAGTCTCCAATGTGTCTACTGAATCTGATTGTCCCTTGACATATTTACAAATGCCACCCGCTCTTGCTCAGCCACCCCTGCCTCCTCCTGTTGCCCATCTGCCTCAGTCGAAGGAACACGGCATCTGGCTGCAGCAATTAGACCCAATTCCTTCCACAACACAGGCCTCCATGAAGCCAAACAAGAAAGCATCGAGAAGAAAGGACAATGCCTGGCATGCCTTTTAGGCCCTGGACCAGTGTCTGCTTTCTGTGGCATCTGCCTGGCTTTTTCTAAGTGCTGGGCTGAGCAAGGTCTCTGTCAGGCAGACGGGGCACTGCCAGCAATGTCAGGCCACCAGTAGCAGCTGCTTCTTCTCCTAATCCAAAGCAATTGAGGCTTCCTCCGTGTGCCCTCATCCTTACCCCAACCAGACTCCTGCTCACATGCATAAGGGAGCTCTCACCTGGCCCAGCTGAGCCAGAACATTTAACCTTTAATGAAAAATTTAATATGCACATGGCAGGCTGGGCATGATGGTTCACACCTGTAAACCCAGCACTTTGAGAGGCCAAGGTGGGAGGATCACTTGAGGCCAGGAGCTCTAGACTAGTCTGGGCAACATAGGGAGACCCCATCTGTACCAAAAAAAAAAAAAAAAATGCACGCAGCACACAGCAAACAATCAGAATACAGCTGTACTACATCTATGCAGACTGACCCGGCCGCTGGGGGTTCTTTTCCACCCTCTCCTCCCAGTACCTGTTGTTCCCAGGATGCCTTCACACTTCTCAAAGCCACCAAGGCAGATTCCTAACCAGATTCAGTGGTCTGAACTGTTCCTGAAACCTCTGCCCATCACTTCAAAATTTGTTCATTGAGGCTAATAACACATTTGCATATTTACAATTTCACAAAGTCTTCTTGACATACATGTGCTTCTACATAAAGAAGTGGCCATGATCATGATGGCCATTTTATAGCATGTGAGTGTCCATGTCTTCCTACTACTAGCACTGCTGCTGATGGTAGCGCAGCTAACATTCAGTGCCTGGGCGAGCACTTCACAAGGACTACCTCATCGAACATGCACAACTTACGAAGCAGGTCCTAACCTATCCGATTTTACAGCAAAGATATTCAGAGAGGCTAAAAATTTTCCCAGGGTCACCAGATGACCAATTGCAGAGCCCACATGCATCTGCATCTAGACCACACACTCTCAGCCTCGCTGTGCAAGGCCTTCCTGTAGGACCTCCCCTGAGTCCTCAACTCTCTGGCCTTAAAGTTTTCCCAAAGTCTCCTTTCTATTCCGTCGCGGGCGTCGTCATCTTCACCTCTCCCTCTAGCCCATCGTGCGCCCCTCAGCCCTCCTCCGTCTTTCCTCTCCCTGTTCTCCTCCAGCAGCCCCCGAGCCTGCTCTGCGTGTGCAGGGCGTTTGGCTGGGGTCTGGCCTCTGGCTGCTCTGACCTGCTGTGAGCCACTCCTCCTCCACGCTGCCTCTCCTCACGGCCAATGGCTCTGTCTCCCTACGGGACCAGCAGAGTGTGCAGCCCACCCACTGCCTGGCTGCCATCGCTCCCAGCCCGCTCTCAGCCCAGTGCAGCATCTTGGTGAGCTGGGGCCTCGGTAGCAACCACCTTCAGGTCGAGTCTAAGCCACGGAAGCGCTGTTAAAGCACGTGAGAGTGTTGGTCACCGTCCGGCCATCCTGGCACACAGTCACCTGCTCCATGGACTTCCCAGGGGGTTTCACAGGTACCCTTACTGCCCACATTCAATTTGCACCTTTCTCCATCTCCCCCGAACTCTAGATAGGCAGCTATGGTGGATCGGTACCAAGGACGGTAGTAGCAGCTCCAGCATAACTCAGAGCCGGACTCATGCACTCGGAAACCTGTGGGGCCAGGCGGGCCCTATTAAGAAATATGGGCTGGGCGTGATGGTGTATACCTGTAATCCCAGCACTCTGAAAGGCTGAGGCGGGAGGATCACTCGAGGCCAGGAGTTGGAGGCTGCAGTGAGCTACGATCACACCACTGCACTCTAGCGGGGGTGGCAAAGTGAGACTCTTACTCAAAAAAGAAAAAAGGAAATATGAATGAGCAAAGCAGACCGGCCTTGGCACTGGGGGGCTGGGGCCTGAAGCAAACTAGAGGGAGCACATGCCTTCTGAAGGAGACGCCGAAATCCACACTTAAAATGTGTACAATGAATTCCAAAAATGTTAAAGGCACCATCCAAGCCAGTCTCTGGGATGTCAAGCTTGAGCGGAGCCGAGCTTTGGCCTGCAGGCGGCACCTTGATTGCATGTGTCACCCCAGTGCAGACCAATGACAGGCAACATAATCTCTGGCCCAACAGCAGCATGAAGGTCCGATATCCTGAGACACATGTTTAAAAGAACAAACCAAAAGGGCAAAGTATCCCAGAGCATCTAACCTAGGACCCTTTTTGTCATTCTCACGTTGTCTGTTTAGAACAAATAATTGCAATGGGGAGGAGAGGCAGACATGGTGTTCTTTAGTAGCTTCCGGGTTCTCCCAAAGGAACCCTACTGATCTGAGAGCTCATGTGTGTACACACACACCATCAGCACGCATGTGTGCAAACACACATACCAGCAACTGACACACGCAGGGCAGCTTTGCCTCATGTTCCTCTAGGGCCTTTGACTCCCTGTGCCCTGGGTTTCAGGGACACAGGAGTAGTGCACTTGTGGCTCTCTCTCCCTCTTTCTCTCTCTCTGTTTGTCTCTGTCTCTCCTCCCCACATACCCGCTTTGGTTTTTTTGTCCAGCAAGAAAAGGCAAACTATTAAAGGAGCAGATTGTTCCGATACCTCCTACCCCCTGCTTCATGTCCAAACCTCTCCCACCATCTCTCTCTGTTGGCGGCATTCAGAGACCTCCCTCCCCCTTCTCTCTTCCTTTTACTTCAGCTTTAAAAGAATATCTCAAAGTTCTTATTCCAGTCATGGAAGAGTGGTTTGCCCTAGACTAACCCTCTGGCAGATAACAATTATAAACTCTGGACAAAATACAAAAAACAAAAAATTTAAAGGCACTTGAAAGTGCCCATACACAGGCAGAAACAGCCCTTAAATCAAGACAACCACATTGGGTGAGATGCACATTTACACAGCTGTTTTTTCCTGAGGAGGACTCCCCAGTTTGTTTGCAATCAAACAGCTAGAATTCAAGCAGAAAGCTGCAGTTATCATCTTAAAGTGTCACAGAACAGAATCTGGGTTCCAAAGTATCTGGAAAAGAGGAGGCATAGCCCAGAAATGGGGAGCCACGGGGAGGCTGGTCACAAAATCCACACACAAGCTTCTGTCCAATTCTCGGTGGACTCCTGAAGTGTGCGTGTGCAGGGAAGCCTCTAAGCACCCACTGGAAAGCTGGAAACCAGAGCAAGGATTTCAGCTCTTGCCCATCGTAGTGGAGACATTTTGGAGTCTGAGTTACACAGAAGTGGCGAGGCTTGGTAACGCCTCAGGATTTTATTTGAAAGCACAGAAGAACCACACCTTGGAAGTAAAGATTATGCCCCAAGATCAAGAGATTCACTCTAGACCTGAAGACAAAGCAGAAACAGACTCACCCTAACGAAATGTAACTAAGACTCCACAAGCTCAAGGTTATCAGCCAATAATTTAACTGCTGATTAAAGTAAAAATCAACACTCTTCGAAGGAAGACAGAGTGTCTACACTCTATTCCTTACAATATGTGGTATCCAATAAAAACTATTAAATATGTGAAAAATAGGAAAATGTGCCACATAGTTAAGAGACAAATCAGTCTTAAAAACTGACCCAGAGATGACCTAGCTGTTGGAATTAGAGAAGGACTTTAATGCAGATATTATAAATATGCACAAGGAATGGTCATGATGTATGAATAGAGAATCTCAGCAAAGAAATGGTTAGTGCTTGATTAAAGAACAGAACCACTATGAATGATATGAATGAATATAGGATTTTATTCCAGGGATTACACCTTATGAAGTTGTGGGAGCTGGTGAAGAAATCTATGGAAAGCTGGTGTCTCTGCCTGTAATGGTGAGCTTGAAGCCATTGTAGGTCATCAGGGCCGGCAGTTGGGAAGGACAGCGGACCAAATATGGGAGAAAGCAAACACAAACTGGAACCCACAAGGAAAACAGGAGCCCAGGAAGATGGACTGACTGCCCCACATCTGGCTCTCACTACCCCCAACCACAAGGATGTGGATGACCTGCAGACGGAGCCAGTGCCCTTCATATGGAGCTACATATTCGCCAGGCTGGGTCTCAGAGAAACCGAAGGAGGAGATCCAGCAGCAGCTGGGGACACTTTGAATCTGGCTGCTGCCCATTCCAAGAAGGAAGCCAGTACACCAAGCAAACTGCAGCAGTGCCCAGTGTACACTGACTTTCCGTGCACACAATGGCTGCTGCTTCACTTCCGACTGGCAGAACTTCTCTTTTGGCCAACTTTACCTTGGAACCACACAGGGACTTCAGTCTGGGAAATGTAATTC